CCGGTAACTTGTCAGAGTGCTGTTGCATCCCCATCAAAGGATTCAGGGATCCAACAACAAGAGCCAGATACGAGGACGAGATCGCCACTGACATTTGCACAAGGATCTAATAATAAGTCACCGTGGAGGTTCTCTAAAGAAGCTCCTCGCCTCTCGCTGGATAGCAGAGCCGTGGTGGACGCCAAGGGAAGCCTCAAGCCGAGGCAGATCCAAGGGACAATGATGATGGGGGGTCGAGGAGAGGGAGAGAACCAGCGTGGCTCACCAGGCGTCATCGCACGCCTCATGGGATTGGAGGAGCCATTGCCCGCTCTCCAGAGATCTGCCTCCGAGTCTAGGGTCAGCAGATTCGTCGTCGACACCTTCAACTTTCAAAATCCCGTAGGAGGTCAGAGGAGCACCACCACCACCCGAGCGCAGCCAGCGAGAGCGAATAGACGGCGGAAGAGCTTTTTCGATTCGGCGGATTTCTTCCCGGAGCCCAGGCAATTCGACGATCTGGAAACCCTCAAGCAACTTCTGGAAGCTCTTAGGCTCAAAGGACTTTTACACTCTTCAAACAAACGACGGAGTCTCGTCTTCGACAACCATCAGTCACCTCCGATCAAATTAGCCTTTGGCATCAGATCTGGACCTGGAGCAGGCAGACGGAGGACTCCTGAAAGGCAGCAGAGGAGAGTCTCTCCACTTCCATGGCGGAGACCGGAACCTCTCCAGACCAGAGCCTCGGAAGAGGTAAACAAACAAACAATTGTGCAGATTTGGAATGTGGATGAGTATAACAGACAGGGGAAAACGTTACTGGAGAGATGCGACAAGCTGCTCCACAGCATTGCCGAGATGGCCGCGTCTGAGGCCGGAGACTCGCAGCCGAGCCCCGTCTCGGTTCTTGACGCCTCGCTTTACCACGAGGACTCTTCCCCGTCCCCTGTCATGAAACGCAGCCTTGACTTCGAAGACGAATCGTGGGGTGGTTCCAATTCCATGGTCTCAGTCTCACCATCTGAGGAGTATGTGTACATCTCCGATATCCTCCGAGCCTCCGACTGCCTACCACAAGAGTCCGACATCTTCTCCTTGCTTGAGAAGCACCAATACCTCCAAGGGAAACACAATACGATACCTCACGAGAGGCGGCTCATCTTCGACGCTGTGCAAGAGATAGTGGACCGGAGAAGGAGGCTGCCGCCGTGGAGAAGGGCGGGAGAGGATGATGGTATGATGCAGGAGGAGATCTGGTCCGAGTTTCAGAAGATGAGAAACACAAGGGCTGAGTCTCCGGCAGAGGACTTGGTCGGATACGTGTGCGGAGTCATCGGAAGAGATCTCTCAGAGGACCGGTGGCAAGACTGTGAGGTGGAGATGTCAGAAGCGGTTCTTGACATCGAGCGGCTCATATTCAAAGATCTCATCGCTGATACAATACGACATCTGGCTGCTCTTAACAGGTCCCACTCCCTGCGCAGGAGGCTCGTCTTCTTCTGATACAAACAAACTAGCTCAAAATCTCTGACTCAACCTCAAAACACAAGCCCTGTACATTTCTCATGAAACATCATGGGAGACTGATGGGTCTTAGTCTTAGTTTCTGGCTTTCTTTTTGTGTTTTTTTGTATCATCAATTGAAAAAGCTCCTTGCATCCTGGATTTACGCCGAAAAATGGTGACTGATCATCCCTGCATATACTACCCTCAAATTCCAAGATGTCCGGATCTGTCCCACGTCTACATATACCTACGACTCATGTCTACAACGATACACAATGCTAAATAGGAGTGAAACTATTATCTTGGATCCTATATCCGATCCGATATTCATTTGGATCCGCTCCAAAAATTAGGATATCCGGAGAATACATATCCGGATCAAGATAGTAAAATCTAAGATCCGTGAAAAGAAGATCCGGATATCAAAATTTTAAAC